GAACTCCTGTCCCAGGCAGTCCATGCACAGTGCAGGTAAAGCAGCCTGGCCAATCTTCCCTCTGCACTCCCCTTCTGTCAGACTGGACTTAAAAGCAGAGAAGCCAGACCCAAATGAAATCAAAACTGTTCCTGCACTTGCTTTCCCGCTCCTCCCATCCCCAGGAAACTGAGGCACCTCCTGGGGAACAGGTTCTGGCACAGAGGACCAGTGRGATTGGGAGTGTGGTGGGATTGGTGCTTGCTCTGTGTTCCTGCAGCTGGGGGCATTCTCATTCCTACCTGGCCCCACAGCCCAGGCTACTGGCTTCCCAGCCACTTGCTTGCCACTGGGCTACTGGCGGGCTGTGCCTTAAGGGTATCAAGCATTAGCATGGTGCTGCCAGCTTCTGCTTCTCCCCTCCAGCCAAGCTCCATCAGCTCCTCCCACATGGCCAGCTTGGAGGTCACAGGTTCTGGAGAACCTTGTACACTCCCTCTTCTCTGCCCAGCAGTAATAGCCCTTGTGTGGGCTCAYACACTATGACCCCAGAGAGCAATTCACTGAGCCAAGAGAAGCAGGGACTACRTTTGTCCTGCTGGCCAGGTCTCATCTACAGCTGTAACCATGGAAGGGAGCACAGTCACTGAGGCTGCTTCAACTAAAGCTTAGTTTGAATCACTCTCATGTCAGCACTGTACCGTATTTTCTTCGGATTTCATCATGCCGTGATTTCATCTCCGCTCTCCTGCAAGAAGCAAACAGAAAAGCCATGAGTCAGTAACTGGTRATACAAAACCAAGCAAGAACAGCCACAGCTCCCTGCTTATTTCCCACCAAGRGGGCTCCAGGCTGGCAGGTTTGCTCAGCATCCCACCTCCTGGAGGCACTGGGGACCACCAGAGCCCACACACGTCAGCAGCCCTCAGGGAGCTGCATACGCAATGCTCACGGTGCTGCATCCACGAGTCACCCCAGCATGACACTCCTCATGAGGCCTGTGTGTGAGCTCAGGCTGAAACAGCCACTCACCGCGTGTGCTGAGCCCCACGTGCCTCCTGGCATCATGTCTGATAGCCCACACAGGAGCCAAATCATTCTGCAGCCCGAGGGCCTGTGCTACAAACTCACCTCTCCTCCTGCCGCACCCGCCTCTTCTCCCGCTCCCTGGCTGCTCTCTCATCATCCTTGTCTGGCCTGGCACACAGAAAAGCCCCTTAGAGCGCTCAGCACTCARCTCTGCAGCAGCACGGGGCTGCATCTGAGCTGCTCCACACAATCAGGGGACCCCCCCCCATCCCGATACTTGCTTTTTGCTCTTTTTCTTACAACAGCAGCAGCAGCAGCACACCCCCAGCATCATCAGGAGCGTTCCTCCCACCACAGACATGGCAATGATGAGGGCTTCAAAGTTCACTAGGGGATTTGACAAAACATGTTCAGCTCACTCAGACACAGCTGCCTGGAGTYACAGTACACGATCATAGGATCACAGAATCATTAAGGTTGGGAAAGCACTCTAAGATCATCAAGTCCAACAGTTCCCCCAGCACTGCCAGGTCCTCCAGTGAACCATGTCCCCAAGTGTGACAGCTACATGGTTTTTGAACTGTTCCAGGGATTGTCACTCCACCACTGCCCTGGGCAGCCTGTGCCACTGTCTGATTACCCTCTGARTGAAGAATTTTCTTCCTAATATCCAACCTAAACTCCCCCAGTGCAACTTGAGGATATTTCCTCTTGTCCTAAAGCAATTTCCTCTTGTCCTRTTTATGAACATACAACCACTGTCACCAGCAGCTTCAGTCATTGGGCTGGAGATGTGTGACCATGTGGGAAAGCAAACGGACACTGTTAGCTGTAAATACACCACAAATACACACCAGCAGAGGACGTGTAGCTGCTGACAGGAGTGCTCAGTTCCTGGCTGTTAAAAAGGCAAGGACAAACACACTCAAGTCAAACTCCTCCGGCAGAAACCAGGAGCAGATCTGACTTAATCACTAATCCAGGTGAAAAGTAACCATCCATGGAAAAAAAAACAAACCAGCAAGTGAAGGCTTCAGAGCTAAGGAACAACCTCTGACAGGGAGGAATTACTGCCCATATGAGCCAGYCTCAGAAATCATCTCTGGTGAGATGAGCACTTATAGGTGTCTGAGAGATAAACTAAAACAAGACCTGTTGGCATTTATTGGCTTGGGGCCAGCAGTGCTGCTGAAGCAGCTGAAGGCCAAGTGCTGCTCCCTGCCCCTGAGTGCCATGCATCCCCAGGGCTGGGGGGATCTGCCTGCTCATACWCAGAACAAAACCTGCAGGAACATGGTGGTGGAGCAGCAGCTGCAGTGAGCCCTGGTCCCTGCTCGTCCTGCTCAGCTCCTGCAGCAATGGCAGCAGAGACACCAGCCAAAACTGACACATCTGATGCCAAGGATTTCAGGCGACAACACAGAGCAGTTTTTTCCAAGTATGATTCAGACTGTTCAGAGAATTAAGCCTGAGGAAATATTTGTTTAGGAGCCACTTTGCACWCAACAGCCAGGGTACAGAAATCCCAGTGCACCTGAACCTGCTCAGAGTGTTTCTGAAGGTCATCTAGTCCAACTCCCTGCCAYGGGSAAGGACATCTTCCACTAGACCAGGGTGCTCACAGGCCTATCCAACCTGACCCTGAATGTCAGGTTGGGCCATTCACTGTCTCTCTGGGCAACCTGTCCAGTGCCTGATCACCCTCATTGTAAAAAACTTCTTTTTATCTCATTTCCTAAATAGATCCTCTTTTAGGTACTCCAGGCTGAGCTGACTGCAGCACTGAACTTGTTTCCAAAGCCTGCAGAGGCATCAGTGCTTCTGAGACCCTGTTTTCAGGGTGAGCCTGGGGTTCAGCTGCCCCTTCCCACACAGACAGGTCTGTGGCAGAGCGCCAGGCACTCCTCCAGCTGATGGTAAAGGCTAAGCCACACACACCAAAAATGCAGGCTCGTGTAAGAGCTAATCCCCCACAGGACTAATCTCCTCTAAAGCAAGTTTTGCAAGCTGAGGAATGTGTTCTTCTATAATGAAACCTTTTGTGAAGCTATTCACATCAAAGCTAACATTTGAAGGTCTTACAGGAGTTTCAGAAAAGCATACCACAGGGCTCACAAAGAGGAGATTCTTCCCTCATAAGCAGAGGAGCAGTTTGAACTCTTGTGGGCAGACAAGAGAGCCCAGCCTCAAGCACAACAGATGACAGGCAACGACTATTCAGCTCCARGCTCCTCATCACCAAGCCCCAGCTTGCTTCCTTCCTGTTCCAGCCCCAAAAAGCTGGGTCCTGTCTGAGCACGAATGTGCACTAAGCTTGATCTAAACAAAGCACCAATCTCTCCAGAAATACTTCAGAAAACASAAGGAGCAGAGGGAGCCAAGAACCAGCTGTCCACCATAAAAAGCTCCCAGAGGTGACCTGCATGTGGAGTGGTAGAGGCTTGTCTCTCAGGTGAGTAAGAGCTGAGCAGGACTGTGGTGCACTCAGGACTAGGAGCACAAAAAGGTTCCCAGAGAAGTTTCCACTCTTTGGTTCCAGGAGCCATGTGAAGAGCCAGAAGCAGCCTGTGGAGCAATGTGCCAGCTGCAGAGGACAGAGCTGCTGGGATTGAGACACCAGCGAGGGCTGCACAGGCTCACAGAGCCCCCTCCTCTCCTGTTCACAGGCGCCAGCCATGTCTGGAGCCTCCATCTCACCAAAGCATAAGGGATGCATTTTGGAGGAGCTAAATCCTCACGGGTCCCACTCACCAGAAGGCAGGGAACTGCTCATACTGCGCTTCCCCGCCCACGCTTCAGGAAGTCTGCAGAACCCTGCCTGACTCCAGCCTGTCAYTGCTACACCGGCAGAGGGAAGGGGAGGCAGGGGAACCTCCCACCAGCAGGCAGCACTCGCCCAGTCCCCASCCCGGGCTGGCACTCACCCCAGCAGACGCCCCAGCGCGCAGAGCGGAGCTCRCACAGGTCAGCCGGGGGCAGGATCCTTCGCACAGGGTACTCCATGCACCTCCCGCTGCTGGCACACCACAGGCACTGGAAGGCACGAACCAGGCAGCAGGGGGTTACTGGTGTGAGCCCAGTGAGCCACACTTTGTTCTGACATGCAGGAACCAGGTACCACCCGGCAGCACCAGGATGCTCACGGGCAACAGCTGGGTCAGCACAGACAGCACCAGGAGAGGGGAGGACAGCATTCTAGAGCAAGTAAAGATGCTCAGATGCAATCCTTCTGGATTGGAATTGTAGACTATCCTGAGCTGGAAGGCACTCACAAGGATCATTGAGTCAACTARTGGCCCTGCACAGGACAGCCTCGAGAATCCCACCATGGCTTGCACAATTAATAACCAAATCCTTTCTGTTTATTGTTAGGATAAGAAGAAAGCCTTTGAGACAAAGCACTCCACACAGACAAAGCTGCTGAGCAGGAGAGGTGTGTGTGTGCCCAGCCACTGCCAGACTATCTGCAGGGTTTTGCAYGCTCCTCTMCTGGTRGCTCCAACYCCCAGCCCCAGCATCCAGTAGGGTTTGGTTAAACTGGTTCTGGCTACATCAGCTGTGAGATCTGACTCAAGTTCAAGTTTGCTGATATCCAAGATAAGGCAGCAGAGACTGCCAGGACACCAGTACACATCCTGGATCCACCCAGTCCCACAGACAGACTGGTCAAGGGGCATCTTGACCAGCCAGTCCAGYCCATTCTCCAAGCAAGTCCTCCATCTGAGGAAGCAGCTCAACAATTCCATTACTCTAATAAAAAAAGTATCCAACAAAACTCAAGCAGCTCCTAGGAACGTCCTTCCAGAGCACCAGAGAGGGACTGCCCTCTCACCATCATGGGTGGGTGGGATCTGCAGCAAGCCTGGGACAAGGGCAGGGGACCAGACCCCTTCCAGAAGGGAAACTGCTCTGTAACAGCACCGTGTTTCCAGACATAGTGACATGTTGGGAGTCTCACTGCTGCTACTCACGGTGACATTTTTCAGGCACTCTTCACAGCTCCTGTTCGTATACTGGCGACATTCTGCAGGAAAGAAAARGACACCTCAGCACTTTGAAGAGCTTCAGTGGTTTAAAACCCTGGACTCCTCCAAGCCAGCTCCTACCCACTGCTTCACCCACCACTGGACCTGTGTCACAGTGGGAGGCCCAAACACAAAAGAAGTTCATCTGCTTGTTCTGCTGTCAAAGCCCTGAGCTKTGAGTTCCTCTTCTGGGTTTTATTTCCTTAAAAACCTGAGCTTCTGCTGTGGGAATAGAGCAGCCAGGGCACACAGCTGGAGTCAGCATGGAGGGACCCCATGAGGATGAGGGCAAGTGCTGAGCAGGTGGCACCAGAGGCAGCACCAGATGATGGCAGGGGGCACAATCCTGCAGGTGCCCTCCTGCTGCACATGAGGGCTGTACCCTACCCCAGCCAATGCATCCAAACCTTCCTGCAGCAGGACTCAGCCCAGGTGATGGGAGCAGCACTGCAGCCAAAATCTGTGCCCATGCTCAAAGCTGTTTCCACCTCCCTTTGGCAGAGGAAGACCCCAGTTCTGCAGACACAGGTGGCTCTCGGGACCAGTGCCACTACAGATGATGGCATCCCCAGGGATGCATCCAGCTGGGCAGCAGGAAAATGGATAAAGTCTGGACCTGAACACAGGACAAGTTGACCCAGTCCAGTCACCCTTCTGAGCTCACCTACAGCTCGCAGCAGTGCTTTTGGAAGATATTTACAGGATATTACAGGATATTTACACCTGTAATTCCTTGTTGTGCTTCCCCAGGAAGGGTGGTTTCCCAAACCCTCRAGAATCAGCCATTTAAAACTCACCCCTGCTTAAGAGTCTAAGCACCAGCCTGTTTGATAGCTGTTAAAAAAAAACAAGCAAAACTAAAAAAAAAACAAGCAAAATAAAATTTGCTTGACCGCTCACTGCTGGATGAAGGATCACTACTTAGCAGTGTTGTAATCAGGAAAAAATGAGTCCCAGAGGTGCTTGTTTTCCACCCTCACAATCAGTAAAGCTGCATTTTCTCCCTCCAGCTGGCAGGAACCCTCAGCTGTGACCCACTGTCAGCAGTCACATGCTCTGTGCAGCCCTCCAAACAACTGGGCAATTGATTAACACAGCCCAGATAAGGGTGTTTACACACCCAAGAGGCTGAGATTGCAGATTTTAAACACTCTGCGAAGCGGCATCTTCCCCATTTCTTCAGCTGAGGCTGGAAAAGCACCACGGTGCCTGTGCTGCTCCAGGAATGTTTCCTTAGCTGGAGTCACAAAACACCCTCCCACACCACAGCAGGCCAGTGGTGGRCAAAAGTAGAACCTGTGGTTTTAACCGGGCCCTGCTTTCCCCAGGGGTATCCCCTCTCCTGGCACTCCCAGCTGGGGATCATCCTCCCAGTCATTAAGTCCAAGTCACCACTCAGAGCTGTTTGGGAATGGGCTGCTTCCAGGACACTGCAGACCTTTGGGATTGGGTTTGTCCAAATGCCCCATCCCAGGGGACCAGACTGCTCACACAGGATGGCACTGCAGTCCTCGGGGACAGAGATGGGAGAGCAGCTCTTGCTGTGCTAGAAGCCTCTTGGATAATGCTTTTGACAGCTGGCTACAAGAGGAGTGAAGTGAGTAGCTTGGGGTGGAAGAAAGAGCAAAATCGTGCTGGTCCTCAATCTCTTCCCTGCCAGAGCCACCATGCAGGCACCATCACACGGAGAGCAGTTCCTTGCTTGGAAGAGCAGACAGACTTTTCAGGATGCTCTGAAGGCARTGGTGCCCACCCTTTGCCACAGCTWCCWCYACCTGGTGCAGCACTAAGGGGGGCTKTGCTCCATCCCCCACCCACTGCTCCCCTCCCACGCGTATTTGACAACTCCCATCATCTTCTTCCTGCTCTGAGGCTGCCCCAGCCAGTCTCTCCTGTTTTGAAGGAAAATCTCCTCCAAAGGGCCATCACAGCAGGGGCCTGAGTGCCTTTTGGTCAGGCAAATGACCARCTCTCTCACCTGAGCCGTTATCATCACTAAATCATGGAATCATAGAACGGTTTGAGCAGGAAGGGCTTTAAGCCCATCTCTTCCATCCCCCTGCCATGGGCAGGGACACCTCCCACTCTCCCAGGTTGCTCCAAGCCCCGTCCAACGTGGCCTTAAACACTTCCAGGGGCAGCCACAGCTCCTCTGGSCATGCAAGGTCCATGGCAGGGGAAACTGGAAAAGCAGCGAGCAAAGCTCCGCTTCCAGCGCCCACTCGACCTTCCAGAACTCGAAGGGACGGKACACGCCACGCCGCACCGGATCCCACCGTGCGGAACTCCCAGCCAGGACAGGGCCTTCCCTCCCCATCCCTCACTGCCCGTCCCCTTTCTGAGTGGCCCCAGCGCCCCGGCCAGCGGTCACCGCACCCACTGGATGCCGGCACTCAGCCCGCGGGGTGCCCGCCTGCTTCCCGCACCGGACATCCCGCAAAAGTGCGGCCCAAGGCAACTGCCCGGCCATGATTTTGGGGTGCTGTGCGAGGAGCGCCGGCCGCACCCCCCAGCCCCACGGCGCTTACCTCCCGCCACGTCCTGCGCGGCGGCGGCGGGCAGCAGGGCCAGCGCCAGGGCCAGGGCACACAGCCGGAGCAGCGGGGCCATGGCGGAGCGGGGCCGGAGCGGGGCGGACACCGCCGCTATGTAGGGCCGGCCGGGGGCGGGCCGGGGGCGGCTCCTCAGCAAGGGCAGCGGGGGTGCCGGGACGGGACGGACCGGGGATGGGTGGGGGCCGAGGGCGGAGAGCGAAGACAGCCAGCCGTCCCGGGCGGAGAGAGCCATCCCCGGCAGAGAGAACCGTCCCGGGCGGAGAGACCCGTCCCGAGCGGACAAAGCGATCCCGGACAGAGAGAGCCGTCCCGGGCGGAGAGAGCCATCCCGTGCGGAGAGAGCCATCCCGGGCGGAGAGAGCCGTCCCGGGCGGAGAGAGCCATCCCGGGCGGAGAGAGCCATCCCGGGCGGAGAGAGCCGTCCCGGGCGGAGAGAGCCGTCCCGGGCGGAGAGAGCCGTCCCGGGCGGGGAAAGCCGCGGTGCTGCCGGAGCCCGCCGTCCCGGGGACCCCGCCGTCCCCGCCGTCCTTCGCCCGCCCGCAGGAGGGGGCCAGACCCCCGCGGGAGGAGCAGGACTGGAAGAGAACCGGCCTTTCCACCCGGGTTAATGTCCCCAGGATTTGCGCCTGCCCCCGCGCAAACCGACCCCAAAGCGTCCCGCATCCCTTCCCGCACCGCTCCATCAGTCTTTATAGCACGGAAGCGCGTTAATGGTAAAATACATATTAGTTCTCATGACACACTGCGATGCGATGAGGTAGTGGAGTTTTATTGCAGACTTSGGTATTGTTCGTGCTGAGGTAAAAYAAACAAAAGGACAGCYCRGMCCTRGAGAGAAGGACTTTGCTTTTGGGAGGCTTAGAGCAGTCCCTGAGGGATGAAGAGCAGCTGGGGTGACCAAGGTACCACAGCATCCCAGGCTCTGAGACCCTCCCAGCGTGGTCTGGTGTCACAGRTCAGCCACAGGGACTCAARGACACCCGGATCCATGAACAAACAGCCACAGAGCAGCTTTGCCAAATGTTACCGTGACTGGAGATGTGTCAGTGTGGGTGTCAGCGCTCAGTCTGTGCTGCCTGAGTGCCTGATGGGTCTGAGGACCTCGGATAAAACCACACCTGGGCACCCTGATTTGGCTGGGACGTCTCATGCCCATGAATAAATATTCACACTCGTAATTCCATGCTTTGCATCCTAACCTGGCACCTTGGTTGGCATGGGCCAGGCATGAATTTTGTGACACACAGTGTGCTAGGAGCTCCCTCCTGGGCAAAACCAAACAACCCTGGTCTCACACCCATGTGTTTCAACATTCAAGACATGAGAAGCTGCAACAATATAAAAGAGGATTTTCACATGCTGTAGGTCAAGAGTGAGCTGAAAGCTCTCCTGTGCTGCTCCACACTTGATCCATGCCCAGAAAGGCAGGCAGCTCAAAAGAAATGGGTTCCCATGGTCACTGCAAGGAGGATTGTGATGGTCCTTGTGCAGGGCCACCCTGGTTGGGCTGATTTGCTCTTAACCCAGACCCCTTGGGAATGGGGTCAGTGTCACTGCATGGGCTTCTTGGCAGCAGCAGCAGCAGCAGCAGCAGCAGCAGGGTCAAACTGCAGTTCCTACAATGCACCTATCCCAGCTTCCAGTGCTGCACATGTGGGTACCACAGGGTGCTGTGTCCCCACTGGCTGCCGCTCCCCTGCTCCTCAGGGACATCCAAAGCCACTGTCCCTTGAGACTGGCTGAGCTTTCGTCTCCAGTGCAAAGACAGGCTCATGCCAGGGAAATTCAGAACAATGCCAAGCTTTCCCAGGCAAACCCATGGCTGCTGACACCATCTATGGCAGCCCCAAAGGCCCGGTGGAGGTGCAGGCAGGAGCAGGCAGCCTGGCACAGGCAGCGGGATGGAGAGACGTGAGTTAAGCTGAGGCCTAAATCTTGCTCACCTGAAACAGGCTAGGCAAAAATCAGAGAATCCAAAGCAGTTCTGTTATTGCAGGGCCTTCAGGGCCATTCAGGGCAGTCCCAGCCCAGCCAGGGGCTGCACCCACAATGGACAATGGCTCACGGCTTTTTCACCCTTTCTCACTTTTGTCCATTTGCACATCGGGATTTGCTGAATCCTCCAATTGCAGCTGCAGCCAATGCAGTCAAAAACTCCAACTTGGCTCCCCCAATTCTCTGTTGTTTCCATCTCTTGGGGCCTGGCCCAGGGAGGTGTCCTTGAGTTTGGGGCTGCAGAGGAATTGTTTTGTGTAAAAATGGGAGAGCAGGAGCTCAGCACTGTCTGTGGAGTCTGCAGTTATCCATTAAACAATTACAGGGTTACAAAGACATGGAAATAGAGAAGCTAAAATCCTAAGGCATCAAAGCTGGTGCTGTCACTGGCCAGACACAGTCTTGGGGTCCTGTGGAGGGACCAGGCACTCCCTGGGTGTTTCTCATAGGAATTGGATGAGCTTCTGCAGAGCAAAGCATGGATGCCAGGGGAAGAGCTCTGGTATGGAGAATCACTGACTTCTCGGCATGGAGGTAGCTCAGGGAGAAAGAAGAAAATATTTTGGATTGCCCTAAACAAAATGAAGAGGATCACTAGTATTTTTCAGCAAAACCCCAAAGAAAGCAATCCCATAGCTTGAACAAGCAGCAACGCTGGCCACTCCTGTTGTGGCCAGCTGCATTGTGGAGCTCATCATCCATCTGCTCAGAAAGCTTTGCTCTCCCTGCCGTGTTCTTGGTGTCCTTGAGAGCCAGATGGACTGGCTGCTGGTGACAGAGCTCCTGCAGGCTGGGAGCGTAAGTGGCCAAAGGC